TAAAAGGACAGTGAAAAAGAGGAAAGCACTGAACAAGATGGAATCGGCACACTGGTTACAGCCATGGGCTCAAATATAAGAGCAATTGAGAGGATGGTGCAGGGCTAGGCTGTATTTCTCTCTATTTTTCGTAGCGTCTGGGTGAACCAGAGCAGGTTAGATGGCACATAAGGAAGGCACAGGACTTCAGTGTGTGTGTGTTTTTGTAAACATGGACAGTGCTATGTAAATAAGATTGCTATGAGTCAGCCCTGACTTGACTAGACTTAGCAATAGCATGGAACATTTTCACATGACTATTTTGTGTTTGTTTTGTTTTTTGATAAGATCTATGCTTAACTTGAACTATTTTTGGAAATTACTTGAAAACCTAAAATATCATGTGGTTTTTTTCTCTCCCTTCAAAAGGTAAATGTGGTTCAATCCAGAGATGACCTAGGCCAAAGATTGCTATTTGTAAAAAAATATATATTAGTTAGTGTTTATAACATAACATCCCTGTATTTGAAGTTACAAGAATGAACTATGTAAACTTCAAATCAGGGTAAATTGTATCTAATATTTTATGGCACTTTATGATTATTTAGCACATTACTTGTGGCTTCATAGGGTTTTCAGCTACCCAGTCATCTTTTTTGCAAGCACTAAACCCTCCTTTCAGAGTGAATATTTTCATTTCCCATGTACATAGAATTCTAGGCAATTATATTTTAAAAGAAAATTCTGTCTAGTATTTTAGTACAGCACAATTTGTTCAGCGATCTTCTTTTGCTATTTGTTTTTTATGAAACAAATAGAACATGGATATTAATTTTCAACTTTCGTTTTACAGTAGTGGTTGTATGGTGAAGTTGGTATTAGGTCAAAGAGAGTTCAATATGATCTATCCCAGCTAGCCTTTGTCCTGTGCACCATCTGCCCATGTTAAATCAGAATGATAAGTAGGATGCTCACTGCTAATTCTTCTTTGGCCAGATTTTTATGACATCTCCTGGTCATTGCAATTGTCCAATTACAGTTAATCAAATTGGATTATCCATAATTAGTGGGTCTGTCTCATAGTACAGTGGGTTAGTTGTACATATTTATCCATTTAAGTGATCTGTCCTCAGACTTGGAAAGCCAAATTTTATGTTGAAAAGACAAATCTTTCTAGGGGGGGGTGGCAGTTGGGGGGTACGGGGCGAGGTGGGGTTAGGACAGAAGGCTGTAATTACTTTCAATATACTAACTTAAAAAAATTTTAATAAATACTTGAAATGGGCTTACTATAGGGTCTCTGTTTTAGTCATGGTTGTCAAGAGAAACAAAGCCAGTGATATTAATATCTGTATAAAAAAATAACCTTATATCAAGAAGGCATCCCAGCCTAGTCCAACTTCAGCCTTCCAGTCTGATGCTCGCAGAAGCCCTTGTAAGACTCATGTAGCGGGAGCTGATGAAACAGGAGTGGGAAGCAGGGATACCACAGGCCCATGGGTGCAGAGTCCTGTGAATCTGAGGCCAGTGGGAACCGGGCAGGGTACAAGCTGTCTATACAAGCGTAAAACCAGGATGGATTCACACCAACTTTCTTGATTGATTCTCACCTTTTCTCCCCAAAACCTTTTTATTGGGAGGTAATATGGATAGCATATCATTCTATAGTTCAATCACATCAAGCAATATTGTATAATTGCTAACACAATCAGTTTCAAAACATTATCTTTCTTCTTTAACTCCATGATATCATCTCCCCCTTTTACCTCCAACCCTCCCCCACGGTCCCCTCCAGGAACCTTGATTCTACTTGCTGTCTGTATAGGTTCATCAATCTGGGTTTCATAGACACAAACCAGAAAAACATAACACCAGTTCAAGAGGACAACCCTCAAGAACCAAATACATCAGAGATAAAAGAAAAGAAAAAGGAAAAAAAAATTGTTGGAAACCAGATGCACACAAAAACAAGGCATAGGAAGACAAAGAGACAAACGAGCCGACAAAAAAGGAAACCAATGACAAAATTTGTTTTTACCAATTAAAAAAGAAAATAAAAAGAAAACAATTTAAAAAAGAAAAGCCTGTAAATAGATCGAGGTCTATTTGTTGACCTCTAGGAGTGTCCTCCAGTCGAGTCCGATGGGTTGCCATGCTCTGACCCCAAAGACTATCTTTGGCACTCCCTCAGGACCTCCCTACTCTGCTGCCCCCACTGCTCTGCCGCATGCCCTTAGTGTGTTGCTTTGGTCTGGTGGGGTCAGACTGGGCCAATCCCGGCACTGTCTCCAGTGTTGTTCCCCATAGGGTCAGTGAGGGACATCATGTCTCATAGTGGGGCGGCCATATGGTCCAACCTGTGCATTGGCTGTTCGGAGCGGGGATATCGTCCTCCAGGCTTAGTGGGCCAGGATGTGCTCCGCTCTTTCTTCCTCCACTTCATTTGCTCCTGTGTGCTCTGATCAGGCATGCCCCTCTCTCTGAGCTGCAGCTTCGGTGTTGTCCTCTAAAGTAAATTCTTCTGGGGGGCTAACCAGTGATTCTTGAGAGTAAATGGGTTGAACTGGGATATGAATTCCCTGCAAATATTAGTAGATCTTTGAGTAGTAATGTCCAAAAGCTGGAGAATAATTTATAGTTAGATAAGATTGGACAGAGCCAAACGTATCACTCCTTAACATTCTCATTTGAGTAGCAATGCCAGGTCATATCAAGATTTGTGGTAGTCATGAACCATGGAGACATTAGAGAACTCTGAAGTTACTTAATTTGACCCATAATTTCCATTGGATATTATCTCTTGATCAAGTATAAAAAAGAAAAGAAATAGAGAATTTTGACACACCTTTTTTTTCCCTCATTGATATGGTGACTTATTTGCTGCAATTTTACTGTCTTTGGTTATTGATCTTGGCTCCTTGATTCTTTTTCAGAATCTAAGCATTAGTGCCATTGTTCCTTCCACCCATTATTCAAAGTCTTCATATTTTTAAAGCAAATTTTCTTAACAAGAATGCCTCAAAATCAACCCAGGAGTTAACTTGAACATGATAATGAGTTTCTACAGAATTACTCATTACTGAGTGAAATATTATTTTTAAAATGTCATTTAGATCCCTATTTTTCCATTTGTGGATCTAATCATCCAATTCCAATACTTCCTACTATAAAAGAAAACATTCCCCCAGCCCCAATCCAAACCCACTGCTTTTGAATTGATTCTTACTTGCAGAGAACTATAAAGACTGTCAGAGACCTTAAGTCTTTACCAGAGCATATAGCTCAACTTTCTCATAAAGAGTGGCTGGTGGATTTGAACCCTCTACCTTTTGATTAGCAGCCCAACACCTGTCCTACAATGCAACCTGGGCTCTTGAGTAATCTATCCATAAACCCCAAAATGTATTCATTGCATGCTATATGATGGCTACTGTGATAGGTCATTGGAGAAAAATAGTCACCAAAAACATGTTGCTTTAAACTCAGGCATATGGGCCACTGTTGCTCAGATTAGGTGTTCTAGTATGTACTAAACAGCATACTTGAATCATTACCTCTCACAGAAATTACAAAATGGTCCTTTTCTGAAGATACAATGGAAAGATAATCCATTTCCTTTTCTGAAGTTTTAAATTTCAGTGATTTTTATGGAGAGTCTTTGTGTTCATAGAGACGGGGCTTTCTATTCCTATAAAATGTGGCAACATCAGAAATCCACAGGGGGTAGGTCTACTCTCTCCTGTAGGTCTAGAGGGGTTGAAATAAACCTGAGACTGTGAGTGTTGAAGTGTAGAACATGTTAGGTTTACACACCCCAGCACTTAGTCAGTTTACTGAGAAGGTGTCTGTGGCATGTGGAGGTCTGTAGATAAAACAATTCGCTCATGAAGTCATGTGTTCCTTTGTTTGGGTCTTTGTAAACGGTAGCTTGCTTTCCAACCTAATGCAAATATTTGCTTAGGAATGTGTGATAAGGAGAGACATGTTGGCCAAAGGTTCCAAAAGTTTCGAGCAGAATGAAGAATTCTAAATGCTGTATGTTCCTGTTGCTGGAAGAAAATTTTTTGTATGACTTCAGTGATCAAGCTAAAATTTTAAAGCAATCATGCACTCTTTGGAAGGCAGTTGCTTTAAATTGGACAGATATCACTCATTTTTTAGTGAAAGAATTTGAAGGTTTTCTCTTTGGAAACCAAAATCCTGGATGGCAAAGTTGGAAGTGTCTTTCACTTTAAAATGTAGAGTCGTTCTGTGGTGAGTGTATTTGTTGTGGTGAAGCATTTGAAATGAAATCCTTGGAATAATTTGGGGTAAGGAAAAATACTGCTTTAAATAAGCCAACTCATCATTTTTGAACCTTGAAAATTACCTTATTTTGAACCAAAAGGAATTAATAATTGTTTATAACATAAAGAATACATGTTTGGGCTATAATATATAACCAGGATCTAAAATTAATTAAGCTTTAAAAGTTTAAGGGACTCTAGTACAGTGTGGTGAACTCTGTTTTTTTCTATACTGCTATTCTTTAAAGTTAATGTAATTATGCTTTTATTTACTACTCATCATATGACTTAATATGGCTCCATGTAAATAGCTCTCTAATGCTGCCATTCTTATAAAGGTGGGGAATTCTTTTACAGGTGAACTTGCCCATCATTTTAAATTGCTTATGCTATTTGGCTTCTGTCTAGATGTATTCTTTCTAGAAAAAAAGGCTCCTACTACCATAAGAAACTCTCTTTTCTGCGGTCTGTATTTTGTGTGGGAATCAGCGAGAGGAGGGAACAGTCGGAATGCCAAAATGCAAAGAATATTCTTGACTGTGGGGCTCTAGCCAAAAAGGGCTTGTAACACAGTGTATAGTCCCTTAGCCCAGCTGTGTGGAGCATTGATTGCTTCTGCCTAGAGCAGGGATACTGTCAAGTTGCTCTGTGAGTTGAGTCATCTATTGACAAAGAGCTACCAGCTCGCAGATAATGCTGTGCGGAGCTGCTCTTGTGCTCCCACTGCTCCCAGGATGCACTGCTTATATCAGCTGTCAAAGACACTGAGGGATCCACAGGGGGAAAGAACACTTTTACAACTGCCTGGAAGAAAGGGGTGTGCGCAGGGAGCAGTCCTGTGCAGCGCTGACCAGAGGAAATAGTAGCCATCAGTGCACTATGAATGCATACCTCCCCAAGCAACCCAGCTGCTGCCGAGGGGCCGAGGGGATGGATGCCGGCAGGAGCGCACCCACGCTGCTCAGTGATGCCCACTGTGCTTGTGGCTGGCAGAGGAGCCCTCAGGGACTCGGGTACAGTGCTCAGACCATGCCTTCCGCAGGACCTGGGGCACCAGCTTCAAACAGGACCAAGCTGGTCACCTTGTGGGACAGTGTGCGGAAAAGCCCGCACAAGACCAGCACCAAGGGCAAAGGGACTTGTGGGGAGCGTTGTGCCTGTCCACACGGTTGGTTCAGCCCTGCACAGGTGAGCCTTTTCTTCTGACTTTCCCTGGGTCGAACAGAAACTATGAGCAAGTTGTGTGAGGCTAGAGTGGTCTAGGAACTTTGCTGAACCCTCCTTGCTGACTGGGAATGGCGTTTTGGAAGGCGGGGTAGACCAAGAAAACCGGTCATTTTCACCTGTTTGTGGGCTCACACCTTTGCTGGGGCGGGGCATGTCGAGGGACACCGTGCTCACTTTCCTTCGGTGACCGCCCAATTCAACTTCTCTAGCCTCAGAGGGTTTAGCATGTACCATAGTCCTCAGTGGGCACGTTTAACTTTTGATCATGATTAACTTTTCCTCTTCTGCCCAGGCTAGTTTTATTTCATTTTCAAGAAGATTCTTGAAATGATTTTCCAAAATGATTTTATTTTTACAAATCAAAGACTATTTCTCCAATTATCAAAAATAGTGATTTGCAGGTACACCTCTAATTATACTCCTCTAGTACTGTGTACCTTTTGGGTTATGGAGGAGAAAATTTGTGCTAAATAGTCCATTATGCCAACTAAAGAAATGCTTTAGAGAACATGCTGATGCTCCTTAGAATCAAATAATGGCATTTATTTACTTATAGTAAAGCAATGCTATTTATATTAAAAGCTGTAACTTTTTCTCTCTCCTGTATTCAATTTCTGAAGCAGATGGACAGAGGAATTTGATCCCTAGGTTATTATTGTCTGTCCCAAACTGCTAGCATTTTATCATAAATGAAATCGGCTTTTCCTCCCTACCTCCCACCGAAGGAGAACAACACCTTCCTGAAAATGCTATGAACTACAAATACATGTTATGTGCAATCTCTGTCATGAACACAGAATCTTACCTCTGTTCTTAAATGGGCATTGAAGAAAGAAAAGCTGAGGTTGCAGAATAAAAAGTAATTTCTTGATTTCCATATCATTGGAAAGTGCATATTATGATTAAGTATTATGGTCTGAGCTGTGTAGAGGACATTTGAGATTTTAATATTCCTTTAAAGTATTTCTAAGTATGCTACACATCACTAGCTCTTAATAATGGAATTATATATATGTGGATATGTTTATGGCTTTTGACTCATTGCCATGAAATTGTAAGACAAGCTTTAGGGGCCAGAGCATCTCCACATCTTGATTTAAGTCAGAACCATACTACCACATTAGTATTCGCTTGAAACGGAACCTGACATTTAGAAGGACGGTTGTTTTTGAAAATCAATGTGATTTCTAAACAAAACAGTCATCAATAACTGTCAGGACTTTATTTTCTTCGACAAATTCACTTAGATATTCATCTTTATTTATTCCGGTTTCTTTTTCAAGGCACACCTAGGCAAATGAAGTATATGTTGTAACATCTAATTTAGGGATTGTGTACAGAATGCAGAAAGGAAACGTGCTTCATTATTATAATCCTTTTCCTCCCAGGTTGATGGTGGGGAAGAGACCTTTCATTTCATAAGGGAACACTTCACAAATCAAAATCTCAAATGGAATAGCCATGGATATTTTTACTGAGAGAAAACTTTTTCCTTCTTGTGTTTTTTATTAACTTAGTCTCCTACTTGCCTTAGTTTAGCTGTGTAATACTTTAAAGAAATAGAACTTGCTGTGTGGCTAACTTTCAGGGGTTCCGGGATATGGGAGAATGTAGTAAATTGAGGCAGCTGCCATTTCCCTGGACTCAGCTCTGCATAGCCTCCCTCTTAGGTATACTTTGTTTGGAGCTGAGAAAAAGTGACACAGCTTATTATGTCTTTTAGGGTTTTTGATATTGTGACACTCCTCAATCACCTGACAATTCTACCCTTATAATATCTCAGTGCTATAAAAGTGTGCTAGGTTTGTCATTTTCCCATAACCTCACCTCAATTCTGGTCCTCTTTTGAACTATATTATTTTGAGTAAACTTTTAAATGTCTCTATGTGCATTTGTATATACACTGCAATATATGTATTTTAAATATCTCTATAATTACCTAACTACTTGCATGTATTAGTATTTATTGGCCCAGGTTTTCATTTATATTTATACATATGTAAACATAAACACATATAAGCATGCATATGCATACATATACAGAATAGAAATTCTATACTTCTTTTTTCACTTGGAAAGTATTGTTATCCCAAATAATTTTTCCTCATTTTCATATAGAATATTTTACTCCTTCTATATGCTAAAGAATAGGTACATACATGCACACACACAAACACACCTGTGGACTATATTGTAAAGATAGATATCTGTGCCATATACACCAATGTGTATTATCACAAAATGAAATCTAAGTGTATGTACTTGTGTCCATTAAAATTAAGGATTTTTAATAATTTTATGACACTATTTTTACCCCTCAAAGTAATCCCGAGGAACACTGAAAAACCAAGGATAGATGGAGGCTAATGATAGCAAGCATTAATAGCCTTGATAAAGTAATAAGGATAGTGCATGTTTCAGAATAGCCCAGGGGCACCCATATGGAACAGAAGGTGCCCAAGGTTTGTTGAGTGTCAGGAGCTGGAATCCTGCTCTCTGAGATCCTTGGATTGTTATGTGGAAATCAGCAGTGTGATTTCTGGCTGCTGTAAAAGAAGGAGGGCTCTGAGAATGACTTGAATTTTTCCCAAGGCTCTTGGCCATATTCCTGTTATTTGGGGTCCCGTGTCCTAGCAGGACTCTATTATTATGTTGTTCTTCAACTGATCTAAAAAACAACTCCTTTCCTTGTTCAAATAAAGTCTCATTTCATTTGAATATGTAGAATTAATATAACCATAATAATAGGTAAGAAAAATGGAAAATTATAGTGTCCTGAAATGAGTTCTAAAATACACATCTAGGATAATAGTTTGGGCCTTGGGAAGAAGCATGCCCATTTTGCTTACGTGGCATTTCTTCCTATGCAGACTGATCTGAGACACTGAGGCCAGAGTTCAAAGCAAGTACTCTTTGCTTATTCATTCATTCATTCATTCATTCCTAGTTTGTCCAACAAACATTATAGTGAACTATTCTGCCAGGCACTATGGATACAATAGTAAACAAAGTAGATGCCACCCTTATCATTTCCGACTTTACCAAATACCGTGAGATCTAACATCTAGCAAATTTATTGTTATACACAAAGGATTTACCACAAATCATAATTTTAAAGTGAAACAAAGTTTGAGAGTGCTGAAGAACACAGGGACCTTGAGGAACAAGAACCTAAGATCTTAGACAAGGCCTCTTTAGGCTTTAAGTTTCTGTTTTATAGCATGCGAATAAAAATAGTACCTACCTCTTGGGGTTACAGTGAAGAATGATTATGTATAAGTATACCACAGTGCTGATATAATGGATGTTCACTCAATATCTATTGAATGAATGAATAAGCAAATAGCAAGTTTATCGTAAATATTGGCTATTGTTAAGCTATTCTTTAATTATACCTGATTGTGGAAGTCAGTGCTTCGCTGAGAGGGTAACACTTGGGTTGAATTGGATTCAGTTTTGAAAAACAAGGGGTTCGTCAAGTAGACAAAGATACTTCAACTCTTGGAGCTAACTGCAAAAAACTTACGAAACTGCCCATTCATGTGGTTCCGTTCCAGAACATTATACGCTGAAGGGATGAAGAAGGGGAAGGGTCAGAGAGGGCCTGGTGGATTTTTACAAGGACTTCAGTGAATCAGCAGCATGAAATCACCTAAGGGTGCAAGTGTGAACTCCGCCATTCTCTGTCAGTGGTTCTCCACATTCCTCATGCCGCCACCCTTTCAGACAGTTCCTCATGTGGTGGTGATGCCCCAACCATAACATTATTTTTGTTGCGACTTCATAACTGTAATTTTGCTACTGTTATAAATCAGGCAACCCCTGTGAAAGGGTCGTTTGACCCCAAAGGGGTTGCGACCCACAGGTTGAGAACTGCTGGTCTATGTAATTGAGTTCACAACCACCAAACCATTCCATGCCCCACTTTTCCTATTTCTGTGAAAACTAGTTTTCCATGGTTTCACTCTAAGGGTTTACCGAGTGCTAACAATCTGTGTCTCTGTCCGTTGATTCCCATCAACTAATAGGGGACACTGGAGTTTCTAGTTCAGAGCTAGACTGTCTTAAATTTGAACTTAACAGTTCCTTGTGAGTTTACTTGCTAAACTCTAGGCCTCTTTCTTTTCTTCTGTGAAACCTGGAATGAGATGGCCTGCTGAGGGGAAATGTGACTAGGATGGGAAATAATCTATATAAAGAGCTAAATGTAATGCTTACAATAAAACAAGTACTCTGTAAGTAGAGATAATTCGTGGTAATAATATAGAAATTATCTTTTTGAACCTGAATAACTTATTATGCATACAATTAATCAACAGTAAGCTAGTCTTTCATTAGGACTTCCAGTTCGCTCACTAAATTTATTTCATTTATTTTTTTCATGTCTTACTTTTAATGAGGTTCCAAACCTTTTGGCACTGTGCCACATGATGGTGGTATGACATTTGTCCTTCAGGGTTCTCAGAGATTTACAACTGTCCATGTTTTAAAAAAAATGTAAAATTGAATTATGTTGATGAAGTAGCATTCCCATAAGCCATTTTCACAGGTAGAGAGATGTTGAAGGATGTTCCCGGCAACATACCACCACAACAGCTGCATTTGAAGTGTTTAGCCGAGCTCTGTAATCTCCCCTCGCGCTGTGTGTGCTGCACCTCCAGAAACAGCAGTCCGCAGCCACTTGAGTGCAAGAGACTTTCTTGTTCATGAAGAAGGGTTGCCTGGGGCTAAAGTCTAAGGCTCGGGTCATGTCCCGCCAGAAAGCCCTTCCAGCTGGTTTTAACTCTATACTGGCTTCAATTAATTCATTACAGAGTAGATAACCTTATCAAAGAAGAAAAGGATGTCCTAGTCTCTGGTTTCTTATGGGCAAGGGGAAGAGAAGAGGGGGTAAGAGATGCACAGCAAAAGGAAGTCAAGGGTGAGGCATTCTAGTTGCCAACCCGGAGCCACTTTGTCAA